TCTGATCCCTTGTTATAATAGGTGACTCTGATCACTTGTAACAATATGTTCCACTAATCCATTGTTATATTATGTTACTCTGATACTTTGATATAATATGTTACTCTGATCCCTTGTTATAATATGTGATTTTGATCCCTTGTTACAATAAGTTACTCTGATCCCTTGATACAATATGACCTGATCCCTTGTTACAATATGACCCTGATCACTTGGTATAATATGTTACTCTGATCCCTTGTTATAATATGTTACTCTGATCCCTTGTTATCATATGTGACTCTGATTACTTGTTATAATATATTACTCTGATACCTTGTTATAATACGTGACTCTGATACCTTGTTATAAAAGTGACTCTGATCACTTGTAACAATATGTTCCAGTAATCCATTGTTATATTATGTTACTCTGATACCTTGGTATATGTTACTCTGATACCTTCTTATATTATGTTACTCTGATACCTTCTTATATTATGTTACTCTGATTCCTTGTTACAATATAATATTCTGATCCCTTGTTATAATACGTGTCTCTGATCCTTTTTTATAATGTTATTAATCTTATCCCTTGTTATAATATGTGACTCCAATCACTTGTTATAATACAGAATTCTGATCCCTTGATATAATATATTACTCGGATCCTTTGTTATAATATATTAAACTGATTCTTTGTTATAAAACGTGACTCTGATCACTTGTTAAATTATATTACTCTGATCCCTTGTTTTAATATGTGACTCGAATGCCTTGTTATATGTTACTCTGATCCCTTGATATAATATGTGTCTCTGATCCTTTTTTTATAATTTTATTAATCTTATCCCTTGTTATAATTTTACTCCGATCACTTGTTATAATACGTGATTCTGATCCCTTGATGTCATATATTACTCTGATCCTTTGTTATGATATGTGTGTGTATCTGACCCTTTGTTATAATATAATAATCTGATTCCTTGTTATAATATGTGACTCTGATCACTTGTTATAATATGTGACTCTGATATCTTGATATAATATATTACTCTGATCCTTTGTTATGATATGTGTGTGTATCTGACCCTTTGTTATAATATATTAATCTGATTCCTTGTTATAATATGTGTCTCTGATAACTTGTTATAATATGTGACTCTTATATCTTGATATACAGGGAGTGCAGAATTATTAGGCAAGTTGTATTTTTGAGGATTAATTTTATTATTGAACAACAACCATGTTCTCAATGAACCCAAAAAACTCATTAATATCAAAGCTGAATATTTTTGGAAGTAGTTTTTAGTTTGTTTTTAGTTATAGCTATGTTAGGGGGATATCTGTGTGTGCAGGTGACTATTACTGTGCATAATTATTAGGCAACTTAACAAAAAACAAATATATACCCATTTCAATTATTTATTATTACCAGTGAAACCAATATAACATCTCAACATCCACAAATATACATTTCTGACATTCAAAAACAAAACAAAAACAAATCAGTGACCAATATAGCCACCTTTCTTTGCAAGGACACTCAAAAGCCTGCCATCCATGGATTCTGTCAGTGTTTTGATCTGTTCACCATCAACATTGCGTGCAGCAGCAACCACAGCCTCCCAGACACTGTTCAGAGAGGTGTACTGTTTTCCCTCCTTGTAAATCTCACATTTGATGATGGACCACAGGTTCTCAATGGGGTTCAGATCAGGTGAACAAGGAGGCCATGTCATTAGATTTTCTTCTTTTATACCCTTTCTTGCCAGCCACGCTGTGGAGTACTTGGACGCGTGTGATGGAGCATTGTCCTGCATGAAAATCATGTTTTTCTTGAAGGATGCAGACTTCTTCCTGTACCACTGCTTGAAGAAGGTGTCTTCCAGGAACTGGCAGTAGGACTGGGAGTTGAGCTTGACTCCATCCTCAACCCGAAAAGGCCCCACAAGCTCATCTTTGATGATACCAGCCCAAACCAGTACTCCACCTCCACCTTGCTGGCGTCTGAGTCGGACTGGAGCTCTCTGCCCTTTACCAATCCAGCCACGGGCCCATCCATCTGGCCCATCAAGACTCACTCTCATTTCATCAGTCCATAAAACCTTAGAAAAATCAGTCTTGAGATATTTCTTGGCCCAGTCTTGACGTTTCAGCTTGTGTGTCTTGTTCAGTGGTGGTCGTCTTTCAGCCTTTCTTACCTTGGCCATGTCTCTGAGTATTGCACACCTTGTGCTTTTGGGCACTCCAGTGATGTTGCAGCTCTGAAATATGGCCAAACTGGTGGCAAGTGGCATCGTGGCAGCTGCACGCTTGACTTTTCTCAGTTCATGGGCAGTTATTTTGCGCCTTGGTTTTTCCACACGCTTCTTGCGACCCTGTTGACTATTTTGAATGAAACGCTTGATTGTTCGATGATCACGCTTCAGAAGCTTTGCAATTTTAAGAGTGCTGCATCCCTCTGCAAGATATCTCACTATTTTTGACTTTTCTGAGCCTGTCAAGTCCTTCTTTTGACCCATTTTGCCAAAGGAAAGGAAGTTGCCTAATAATTATGCACACCTGATATAGGGTGTTGATGTCATTAGACCACACCCCTTCTCATTACAGAGATGCACATCACCTAATATGCTTAATTGGTAGTAGGCTTTCGAGCCTATACAGCTTGGAGTAAGACAACATGCATAAAGAGGATGATGTGGTCAAAATACTAATTTGCCTAATAATTCTGCACTCCCTGTAATATATTACTCTGATCCTTTGTTATAATATGTTACTCTGATCCTTTGTTATAATATATTATTCTGATTCCTTGCTATAATATATTAATCCAATCCTTTGTTATTACACAGCTCTCTGCACCTGTTATAATTTTCTCCCTCTGCCCTCTTATCAGAATGTAGCTCACCCATTACAAAACATTGCAATATCAGAATGGTGCCCGGCAATTTCTGTATGTTGTTATGTTTAATGTCATTGATATTTATGAAAGACAGCCTCAAATAAAGATTAGTTTAAATTATTCAGAATATAATTTGTGAGTTCACATATGTTAAAAAGCTACTTTAATCATGCAGATTATTCAACTCAGTCTATAATCACAGACATATTTTTGGTTTACTCTTGGTCATCTCATAAAAAAATACCAAAATATCATATAAACTACTCTTATTTTCCATAAATCTTACATATTTGTGAGTTTAATGATAAGTGTATCATTCTCTCTATCGCTCGCACTCTCTTTATTTATATATATGGAGTTGTGGGAGGGACTAGTTTTGGCTATTTAAAGTACTCATCTCCTCTAGCGTATCTTGATTGGCGCAGCGCGTATCCCGCCCTCTACTCCCAATTCTCAGAACACTTTTCTGAACTAATTCCGTAGGTGGGCCCTCTTTCTTTTAGAGACCTACTGTTATGTCTGTTTCGGCACACCTCAACCAACGTACGTATATTCCCTACCTATGTTATGTTTATTATGTTATATTTATTTCTTAATGTTTACAACCTTTTGTGTCCTGACCACAAACAAAAATAATAAATAATATATATATATATATATATATATATATATATATAATTTTACTATGGTCTAAGATGAGACTGCATATTTTAAATAGTTCTGTAGAATTCTACAATATTCTGATATACTGAAGGATAACATATGGATATCACAAAATATGTATTCTTTTGACCATAGTTCGGAATGACTCCATTTTCACAATACACACAGAATTCTGTGAAAAGTATGCAAATGTTACTAACAGAATGTTTACTCTTTTGATATTCCTGCCCATATTCCAGGATTATTCTTCAAGAATATGGCCTGCTATTTTAAACATTGCTTTTTAGCCTGAAGCATACGTTAGGATCTACCTAAGACCTAGCTAGGGCCCCGTAGGATCTTAATCCTTCTTGGCTTCCATTTTTTTTAGATAAACTATTTACATCATAATCTGTAGTCATATGACAGTTTTTTCTCTTTCAAAATGTCTTCCTAATGGTGATAGCTAGTGATGTCGCGAACCCGAAATTTTCGGTTCGCGAACGGCGAACGCGAACTTCCGCAAATGTTCGCGAACCGGCGAACCGCCCGAAACGCCATTGACTTCAATGGGGAGGCGAATTTTAAAACACACAGGGACTCTTTCTGGCCACAATAGGGATGGAAAAGTTGTTTCAAGGGGACTAACACCTGGACTGTGGCATGCCGGAGGGGGATCCATGGCAAAACTCCCATGGAAAATTACACAGTTGATACAGAGTCTGGTTTTAATCCATAAAGGGCAGAAATCACCTAACATTCCTAAATCACAATGAATATGGATTGACACCTGACATATGACATATTGACACCTTGACATATGGATTGACACCTGTCCTCAGAGCCCCTGATGCACACGGACACAGAGCAGAATAGAGACTGGTCCCCCTACATAGGGTCACTTGGCAGATATGGATTGACACCTGTCCTAAGGATCCCTGATACACACTGACACAGAGCAGAATAGGGACTGTGTTCCCCCTACATCGGGTCACTTGGCAGATATGGATTGATACCTGTCCTAAGGTTCCCTGGTACACACTGACACAGAGCAGAATAGGGACTGGTCCCCCTACATCGGGTCACTTGGCAGATATGGATTGACACCTTATTACAAACTGCTATTTGTAACGGGCCCTTTAAATGGCAAATTGCCCTGCTTCCCTGGGTTGTGGAGAAGCCTATTTGCAGCCTCCTCCCGCATGACTATGGCCCCCTGGGAGATTGTGAAAATGTATGCACTTTTATTTGGTGTGTATGGCCCTTTAAGACTGTCGGGCATATTGGGGCTTATGGACTCTTTATGTGACTGGTGCTGGCCCTTTAAACACCTTTTTTGGGACATCAGGAAGATTGGGGACACTGCCCCTTTAAG